ACATACTAGAATTTCTCCAAGGGACAATGACCTCCAAGTTAAGAGAGATTATCATGACTAAATCAAAATCATGAACACCTACAGGTAGTTGACAAAGCTAAGCAAATGCCAGTAATCTGGGAGCCCTGGAAAGAGAGACTTAAAGCGAAGCATTACAGTCAATGGATCTCTACCACTGTGCAGAGGAGAGACCAGCCGTGGGCTCACTGCCTGGTGAAGGGGAGCTCACAGGCTTCCGTGGCTTCATGACACTATTATGGAGGATCAGTCAACTCTTCTGTTCTCTTTCCTCAACAAGTTGCCATCCAGCCTTTACCTGGTTGCCTCTATCATAATGTAAATGCCTCAACCTACTAATCTGAAAAGGCAAGTGGGCCTGCTAGTCACTTTCATCTTTCAGGTGTAAATTAATAATCTAAAAATGGGATGATTTAGACAGATTTGGATTTGTTTACTTACTGTGACTCAGACCCACAGGTCCTGCTAACATCTGGGCAGAACTCAAGGGCCTTTGTGTCTGATAACAAAGGTCCCAAAATCCTCTCCAGACACCTGCCCTCCACTTTCCTTCCCTGGGGATCCTATGACTTCCTGATCTCTAAACTCTGTTCAAAGAATAGGGAAGAATTATTTATACTTTGATAAATGCTCTTCACAGCCCTAACCTAAACTCTCTCAGGTGTTTTCAGTATATTTAGCAAATGTATTCAATAGATAGTTAATGCCTATTATAACTAATGACTAAACAGACTAAGACACCTTGTGAATTTCAGGGAGACTTGTAATTGGCAGAGGAAATCTGCCTTGCCACTAGTATTCTCCCAGGATGCTGTGCAGCAAGGAAACCTGCTTTGGTCTTTCCGGATGCCTGGGATTAGCTGTTGGGGATGAGCCTCAAGGTCCCAGTTATCTATTCGCTTACTTCTTCAGCTCTCTATCCCTAATGCCATCCTCAGGGGACCACAGTTTGAAAGGCCATTCTGACCCCTGCAGGAAGGCTGCAGTCTGCTCTCCTCCACCATGAAGAGTTCTCAAACCTTTTGGGAGACTGTGCCACACTCACTTGGCATTTACATTCACCCCACCACTTGTTTCTTCACTACTTCTTGGGCTATCTGTTGACTTTTTACCTTGAGTATCACCTACAGCACCCAACACTATCCTAGGCATATGCAGTTCTGATTGCTTGATTAAGAAGGTTAAAAATGCTAAATTGAGGGGCGCCTGAGTGGCTCAGTGGGTTTAGTGTCTGCCTTTGGCTCAGGTCACGATCCCAGGACCTTGGGATCCAGTCCTGCACTGGGCTCCCTGCTCAGCAGGAAGTCTACTTCTCCCTCTCCCCCTCTACCCCCCCCCCCCCCAAGCTCTTGCTCTCTAGCATGTGCAGGCTCTCTCAAATAGATAAAATCTTTTAAAAAATGCTAAATTGAGAGTTATGAAGTTGGGAATCCTTTGCAGGTAAAAGGAGAAAGATGATCCATGAAGATTAAAGGCACACCTTCATTAAGGAAAAAAAAAATGAACCAAAGCTGGGGGCTGCTCTCCAAAACATTCTTTCTTTATACTTCTCTGCATCCTTGTTTTACATTGAAGAGAGTCTTGGTTATACTTCTCCATTGCAAATTACCAATTAACATTCAGACGTATGTGACAGGGGATATGTAAGGAAATATTTTTGCACCAGAATCACCACCAGCTGCAGATGAAAGCAGTTAAGTTGCTGAGCAATAAGGCTACTTTTCTAGTAATATTACAACACATTACTGAAAGTTGGACAGAGGGGCTCCCCATTGTAGAGCTCTTCCATATAGGACTTCCTTATGTCTTTCCCATGGTCTCCCTTTCCCAATCCCATCCATAAGCCCAAGAAAAATGTAATTTTCATAGAAATCAACAATGAGAAGTGGAGAGTCACTGAGTGCTGCTGTTAGTGAAAGAGTTGTTAACAGACACCCATGGTTACAGCCTTTGGCCCTTTAAACACCAGGGAGGGGCGACTTCAGCCGGAACCCCATCAGCAACAGTGAGGAGCAGGAGAAACGCAGACACAAAATCGCAAAAGACAGAGCTTCTCCCTTTAGTTCAGCTACCCATTACCTATATGACTTTCACAAGCCAGCCTGGCCCAACTCCAACTGGAAAAGGAGGACAGAGCTATCTGTCTGGCTCACGGGTGCTTCTTCTAGGATCAAGTAAGGGGAGATAAGAACAGCAAGAGTAGAGGCCAGTGGTGACTGAGGCCTTATCACACCCAGGTGCCTCTTAAGCATCATAGCTGTTAATCCTCACAAGTCTCCTGGAGATCATATTATCCTCATTTTACAAATGAGCAGACGCAGGTAGTTAAAAGTCATCAGTCAAACTTAGAACTGTTGAACCCATGCTTTAACCACCACACTATACTGCCTCCCACTATGTTCTGAAATAACTTTGAAAACTAAGAGTCCATACACATTGAATCCCTGAAGAAGCTGGTGGCCATGTTTGATTTCCCCGCTTTTTTTTTTTTACTCTTCCCTCCCAACAAGTACCCCCTCTCTACCAATTCTACCAAACTCCGTACTCTTCCCGATCTCCTCCTCCTCCTAATTATTCTTTTTATTCCTGTTGCAGCTTTCCTCTTGCGCTTTCTCCTCTATTAAATCATATTAAGTTTTCCTAATGAACACAATGAAAACCACCCCAGAAGGGGAACATTTTAAAAAATATGCATATAACAGACTTTATCTGAATATTATTTTTAAGTAGAGATAAATATTTAGTAAGAATGTAGGACACGTTGAAAAGTTTGTTGTTTTTGACAACCCCTTTCTTGGATTAACTTTAGACCCAGCTGAGACTTTTACAAAGATAAAATGACAGAAAGCTTAGTAAATTTCGAAAAGAGTCATCATGAAACCAAAAGTCATTTCTACTTTAGATTGTCAGCATATGATTACACTAGAATTTCATCAGATTGAAAAATAAGAACACAGATTTGACTACACAAAGAATCCTCAATTCTCAAAGCTTTTACAGAAGTGTGATGTTTACCCAGCTCCAGGGTAATGCCCTTCCCCTGAGGCTGACAGGGCTGCTCTTTCTTCTGGGCCACATGGAACTCTGCTCATTCCACAGCGTTATCATCTTAACCAGTTTATATCGTGGCCTGTTTCATACACCACTCTCCTCCACTAGCCAGAGATAGCTAGAACAAAAACCAGCATTTTATTCATCTTTGTATTTCTAAAATGCCTGGTACAACAAGATCCCCAACATAGGGCTGTTGAGTAACGGAACCCAAATTCACATTTATCAGGGGAGCATGCAGCCCTCAGCCTGACTGGGATTATTACAGGGCAGGACACACTGCTGATCACTGGCTTTTGATTTGCCTCTATGAAAAATAATCTAAAGCCTTTGGTTTTTTAAGAGGAGGAAATGTACATGGTGCCTTTTCCAAACCATCATCCTGAGATGGGGCAGGCTGGGGCTTGCTTGCGTCTTTTCCAGATGATTCTGATTTTCTGAGTTACAGTTTACACCAACACTGCTACAGATCAGACTACCTGAAAGCAAACACTCCTTTTCCCTGGCAAGGTTTTTTCTTCCATTCCCCTCCCACTTAAACCAAACACCACTTGCAGGACCAAAGCATGCGTCCTTTGTGACCACCGAACCAGAATTGTGGATCGTTACTCTGATTTCTCCCTTTTCCACACTTTGTTCATTCTATACCTTTATTAGGATCTTAACCAGCTTACTGGTTACTTAATCAGGTTACAGGTTACTACTTTGCAGGTGAGGAAACATGGTGCTTAAAGTTTGCTCAGTGGTCACACTGAGTAAAACCCAGTTCCTCCACTTCCTGATTCCCAATCAAGTGCCCATAGCAAAATCCCCAGGGAAGCTTTTACAAAAATAAATAAACAATGTCCGGGCCATGGCCTCAACCCCATCACTTCTGGTTCGGGATCTTTGGGGTGTGCCCAACAAGGTGTACTTTGAACAACTCTGCAGGTGCTTCTGGGAGGCGCCTGAGGTTAGGCCATCCGGCACCAGACAGTATAAGCCTCGTAGTGTCATTACGCATTCCGTAAACACCTCACAGTATTTCTGTTTTCATTCAAGTGGCCAGACAGACGCTCAATACCACGACGCTGGAGTAAGTCTGGTAGTTGTCACTTATTTTTTCTCAGTAGGAGGGGCTTCTACGAACCTCTTCACACTTAAGTAAACGAAACTCGGGGGTCACTTTCCTTCGGCCAAGCCGCCCCCGCCCCCAGCGCACACACCCCGAAGCAGGGCCGCTGTCGCTGATAACAAACACAGCTGCGCACCTGCAAAAGCCACGGCGACCGCCGCTGCAGGCAGCGTGTCCCGCACGCCACCCAGCAAGGCCACCCCAATTCTCTGTGCCTTGTCGAGGGTGTTGGGGGCACCACGATCCCCGGTCCCTTTTCTCCCGAAGTCTGTGGGGACTTCCCCCCGCCCTCACTCGGTCATTTTCTTCCCATCACTTCGGTCTCTCAGGGGACGAGCTACGTTTGAACTTGAGATTCTCACGTTTGGGGTGGTTCAGAAATTACCCTGCGGTCAACGCAGAGGTCCCCGCACCCTCCGCTCCCAGCCTCTGTGCACCCAGAGTTGGAGAAGGCAAAACACGCCCCCCCGCCCGGGGACTGCGGGGCGGGCGGTAGGTGGCGGCTCCTGCGCTTGCTCGTCACCGTCACCCGCCCCGCCCCGCCCGGCGCAGGAGCGAGCAGCGGCCGACCCAAGAGAAAGGGGAAGCGCGCCCCGAGACAGAGGCGGCCCGCCGGCGGCCGGGGCGCCCCTCAGCACGCGGGAGCGGCCTGGCCCGGCGGCCTCGGGTCTCGAGGCTTCGCCGCCTCGCCCCGCCCCGCCCCGCCTCGCTCCGCCCCGCCCCGCCGGCCTCAGGCACCTGCCGCGGGACCCGCGCACCCACCTGCGCGCCGCTCCCCCACCACTGCCGCCGCCGTCCCGCCCGCCGAGCGCCTCACCTTCGAGTCCTCCCGCCTCGCCGCCGAGTTTCCCCTCCTGGGAAAGTTCTGGGGTCCGATCCCGGGGCCCGGCGCGGGCAGCCGAAGGGAAGCGGGCGGTCTGGGCGGCCGCCGGGCGAGCAGCGCGGTTCCGACTCGGCGGCGCGGAAAAGGAGAAGGGGAAGGGGAGGAAGGGGCGGGGAGCCTCGGCGGGGTGATCCCCTCCGACCCCAGCCTGCCCGCGTTAGCAGCTCGCAGGGACTTGAGCGCTGATTTTACGCCCCGCCGTTGGCTCCCTCTCCCAATTACCAGCACCCGCCTGGCTAAGAGTTTGGGCTCTGGGGTCAGGCTGTTTTAAAATCTCGCTCCACTACTTACAACTGTGTGATCTTGGGCAATTTACTTTACCCCTCTTTGCAAAATGAGGAGAACAATAGTACCTATCCAGGGCGAATCCAGATTTTGTGGGACCTGAAACTTGAACAGTGAGGGGTAGGGGGCTTCTTCGAGGGAACATGTAAAATTAGATTCAGGGCTTTGGAAGGGACTTGGACAAGAGAGGAGGCCTGAACTAAGCTAGCTTTACATACCAAATGCCTTGATGGGAGAATTAAGTGAACCACGGGAAACCCTACAATGGGTCCTGGTACATTCGACTGGTGTTTATAGGCATAATTGTAGCCAGTCAGGTGGACCTGGGACCTGGGAGGGGAAGTAATAACACTGTCAATATGTGCCAGGTGTTTTAAATACACGCTGTACTTGATTCATGCACGTTATGCCAATTTTACAGTTCAAAAACCCAAGGCTCAGAGAAGTCCTACAACGTGCTTATGGTCACGTGGGACCGAGTTCTGCCACATTGCAAGTGCCTGGATTTTCCACAATTTTACCTCACAAATACTAATATGTAAATATCTTCTATAATTTTTTTTTGTTTGAACGAGAAAAGAAAGAAGAAATTCCCCCACGAGAGAATAAAATGCCTCAGAAATACCTGTTTCTGAATTTTCACTGCAAAATTTCCCCAGCTCAATACAACAGCAAATAAACTGCCCTTGAAATCACACCCAGTGCATGTGAAGTACCCTGTTGCAAAATCAATAAATGGCTTTACTTAAATGCGTTCAGGTTACACATTTGCTTGCTCTGCTAGCACTGTGTGTTTACTTTTTCTATCGATTATTAATACTACTGCAATTCAGATTGATGGGTTTATAATCTTTCCCCAAAGGGTTTATAAACTAAGACAAACAACATAATGAAAGGAACACTCCTTGGTGGAAGGCATTTTACATACCTTTCTCATCAAAGCTGCACATCTTTTTGCTATAGATATAATTACCCTCCTTTGAGAAAAACACAAAAGTATATTGTCTCTAAGTTCACATGGATACCCAGAATTTGAACCTCATTTTGCTTGGGACCTAAACCTTGGCTCTTTTTTTTTTTTCCTCTACACCTTGGAGAAAATAGAAGAAACTAGCAAAAATACACGAAGTCACTTATGTCTTGCAAAGGGAGGGAGAAGAAGATGTCAAATTCTAGTGGTTCTTTTCCTAAATTAAGTTTCAATAGCAGAAAACCTAAATATAAACTTACATAATTTGGTTTTCTAGGAATGAGGAAGAGTGATAGGTATGATATCAGGCACATAACAAATGGTGTATTTGTTGAATGAAGTAATCCATGAAAGAATTGGTGAAATAGTGCTTGGTGGTGCCCATTAAGTCACAACATGTCAGTGGATGTGATTCTTGTAAAATGACAACAAAGAGGTATCCATTCCCCCTCCCCTCTTCTATTTTTTTTTTTTTTTTCACTCTATCTACTTTTGGGTCACTATTAACCAGTAAAATGGGCAAGTCAAATTTTAAGAGCAAGCAAAAGGAAGAAGGAACAGAGAGAAATAGACCTTAGGCAAGAGAGGAGAGAGAAGGAGGAGGGACATGCTTTCTTTTTTCCTGCTGCTCAGAGGAGTAAGATCTTTTATCTGTAAGAAATTAAAAAAAAAAAATTCAAAAGTATGTGAAATACCCTAACTAAATTGTGAAATTGAAGCCATAGTTTCATTTTTATTATAATAATGTAAAAACAGTAATATTTTGTTAAGACAGAAAACAAAACTAGTATCTAAGTAATCTTTTTTTAAAGATTTTATTTATTTATTTGACAGAGAGAGATCACAAGCAGGCAGAGGCAAGCAGACAGAGAGGGGGAAGCAGGCTCCCTGCTGAGCAGAGAGCCCCATGCGATGCAGTCTCAGTCCCAGGACCCTGAGACCATGACCGGAGCCACAGTCAGAGGCCCAACCCACTGAGCCACCCAGGCGCCCCTGAATCTAAGCAATTTATGCAACTTCCCCCCACCCCAACCCACCCATCATGTTAGTTCTTCAGGGGCTTTCGATGAGATGGAGGATGGGACATCACACATTTAGATAAAGAAGGCAAGTTCACTACCTCTCCTTCAGGCTGGAAAGCATTCATACAGGAAGTGAACTTTCAAAGACTTTCAAAAACAAATTCAATAAAGGAAGTGAGAGAGGGGGTTACACATGCAACTTTCAAGGAATAGGTGATTTTTCAGAAATTCCAAGGAAGAGATGGAAGGTGGTTCTAAGGAAGGGAATCACAGCTAATGTTTTAATGTTTACCCAGGCAAGCTGACTCGAGAGTCCAAGCTCTTTTGCCCATGCTGGTAAGCACTTGGAAGTGGAGGAGGTTAGACCATCCGATCTAAATATGGCAGACTGGAGAATAGACGTTGAGGGGAAAGGAACTCTGTGTGCTTTCTTAAATGATCTGCAGAAGATGGGCTCTTGAGTCTGAAGCTTAAAGCCAAGTTTAAAGAAATGGGTGAAGGGGATCAAAGGGTAAAAATATCAAAACAAAATAATATCTGTTGAATGAATGAATATGTTGGCTGAACTGAAATCTGAATCATCTCATATAAAGCAAGAATACAAAATTGACTTTACACATTCAACTTTCATTCAATAAATATTTATATATTAATCTAGCATTTGTATCATAATGTATACATACAGCTCTTGAATGAATAAACATAAAGTTAAGCATATTGAGACAAAAATATTCTGCATTTTTCTGTTAAATTCAAGTTCATATCTGATGCTCAACGATTGAAGTACCTTAATTTTTTTAAATTACCTTCTCTATTTTTACTAGATGAATAGCAAATCACTTGCTTATTGTATAATTCTCTAACAAGGCCAAAAATAAGTGTATCACTAAAAACTATAAATATACACATACATACAGTGATTAAGGAGGATACTTGTTTCTACTAACTGATTTCAGGAGTGCAGTTCATAGTATAATATATTCTGAAGTTATAGCTTTTTGATTGCATTAAAACTATAGAACAACTCTATTAAAATTATACAAAATATAAAATGCAAAAAATGGTAGAGATTTCAGGAAAAGATGACAAATACACTACTTGTTGGAGGAGGTCATCAAGAGGATGTAATCTCCAGATCTGAGAGCCTGCCCTGGGCAATTTGAGGCTCACCACCCCCTTCCCGGTTCTTGGAATGTCTGCTTTGCCCACTGTTTACAGTGAGAGCCATTTTCAAGGACATAGCCTTGAGAGAGTAGGGTGTTGTGGAGACCATCTAGACTGTGTACATGATTGAACCCAGTCAAGGCCTCCATGGGATTCTGGTAGGCAGGTGTGGAGATCTACTCCATCTTGGGGCTACCCAAGACACGCCTTGAAAGTAAGTTCCTTCACTTAATAAATCTGCTGCCTGCAAATCTGGAGTGGTTGGCCTCTTTGCTTTTCCTTGCCCCCCATACATAGGGACCAGTTTGTGAACTAATGCTACCATAGCTGGAATTTTAACAGAATCTCTCTGAAGTACGGTCAGGTTAAGCAGACAATAATAGTAAGGATATACAAGTTTTGAAAAACTTAACTAACAGACTTGATCTACCAGACACACATTTAAAAAATAGTAATAAATAAAACAATTTTATTCCCTAAACCCAAACAGAGAACAGCTGTCTTTAGTTGCATTCCTGGTTAGGACAACCCTCATCTCTTCATCAAATTTCACTGGCATACCCAGTAGTCCTCAACTGACAAATACAGTGTCAGTTGTTGTGCCAACCAGTTGTGCCAACCAGTCATGGTTGGCACAGTGTACACTCTACATTTTACCCACTCCCCCAGCCCCAACGAAATTCCATTCTGGGCCATCACCTGCTGAGAGATGACAATAACTACCAAGTGATGGGGGGCGCTATTACCTGCTTAACAAAAGGTCAGGCTTTGGGGGAAGCCTGAGTTGTGCTGGGGACTTATGGCCCCAATGCCCACCACTGAGGACAGAATGACAGGGTCCTGAACCTCTGCATCCCCACAGATGACGTCTTGAAGGAGGCTGGAGAGTCATATTCCAGTGTCAGAAACCTACTCCACCCAGTGGGTGGTAGCGTAGTTCCGGCAGATAGCCTCTGTCCAGTAGTGACACCTCCAACTCCTGTCTCCTCTTCTGTCCCGAAGACACTGCCTAGCATGACCCTGGGAGCCAGCTTTAATCTCCCTAGGTGCCCAGGACAAGGGGTGGCCTCACACCAGTGTCTCTCTGCTTGGCACTGCAGGGTGCGGGTGGGAAGGCTGTAACTCCCACTTCCCTCTCAGGCTGCTCAGGCTTGAAGGAGCCAGGGTTTACTGAAATCATAATGAGGAATTCTGTAATCATTTCTTTGTTGTAGTAATGAGAGCCATTTATAACATTCATGGTTTTCCTTTCCTTATACATTTGCCTTTTGAACATGTTTCCAGGAACTCATTAGTTACCAATAAAAGGGACTGTCTTAGGCAATACGTTACTCCAAGGATATGGATTTCTTATCTCACACCACAGCCCCCTCTCCTGCCCTTCCCTATCTTGCTTCCTTTTTTTTTCTTTCTTAATTTCTTTATGACCTTTAATCCCTAGAACCCCTTCCTATTTTCTCAGTCCATTATCTCCATTCCAACTTCCCTTATCTCCCTACCCCATGGAGGTCAGTTGTGTGTGTGTGTATATGTGCGTGTGCGTGTGCGTGCATGTGTGTGTGTGTGTGTGTGTGTTATGTTTCTAAAATTTTTTTAGTGCACATTTCCTTACCA